GGTCAGTTTCAGCAGCGGCTGACTTGGGGAAGTCTGGGGCAGAGCAGCTGGGGTGCTGCCGGGTTGGTCCCGCGGCGCCGAGGGGCGGCGCTACGAGACCACCCCCGCAGCACCTCAGCTGCTCTGCTCCAGGCATCCGGATTCAGCTGCTGCTGAAACTGACCAGCAGCAGCTGAATCAGGGACGCCTGGGACAGAGCCAGACAATCGGAAGGGGGGGCTATGAAGGGTCTGGGTGGCATCCCACCCCACCCCACCCCAGACCCCTTATAGCCCCCCCTTCCGATAGTCCGGTATATCTGATAATCCGGCACCCCCTGGGTCCTAAAGGTGCCGGATTATCAGAAGTTTACTGTATTCAGCCTGAATGGCAATATCTACTCTGCTGTTATTAGTGCCATTGTGCGAGCCTAAGTCGATAGGACTGGGCTGTAGGACTTGCTCCCTTGGGATGGTAGGGTTTTTTTCCCCTCCAAAGGCTGGCCTTTTGAATTTGAGGAAATTGGTAGTTTTGTTTGTTTTTTTGTTTTGTTCTGGTCTGGTTTTGCAGGTCACCTTTAAGCATGTTTGAAAACAGTTTCCTTGTCATCTTTAGCATGTTCTATATATTTTACTAATGCTATAGCAAGAGTCCATTGAACCATTCTAAACTCTTGTTTCAGATTCCTATTAGCTTGTCAACCGTAGGCTTCGTTCCTCTTTATGGTGGAGATCAGACTCACAAAGTTCTTGCTTTATTTGCACCTGAGGACTCGCTCACAGGTTTCATTTTAAAATTCTAATCTAAATGTTGTAACATTTTGCTTCTGTGACAAATACATTTAACCAATCATTTACTCATTCCATTCTAGCTTGCAATGACTAATTACCTTTTTCAGCTTGAATGCAGTGTCCATTACCTTCACTTTCATATTATTGTTAATTTCTGTTGTAGATTCTTATCCACATTTTAAATAAGTGTGAAATTATTGTACTGATCAGAGCAGAACCAGCTAGATTAACTTTGGAAGAAATGTAGCAAATGAAAGGTAGAGATTTGATGATTTAATGTTCAAAGGCAACATGTACTTTGTCTTAAAAAAGCTTGAGAGGAGAGAATTTGATACTCAGCCTGTCTTCCTCTGTCTATCCAAATTGAGGCTACTACATTGGTTTTCCTTTTTTGTCAAGCAGGAATTGAGTTCCTCTACAGATCTGCCAATCCAGGCCCCTTCTAGCGTACTGCATGAAGTTCCGACTCATTACCTTTGCCTTCAAGACTAGGGATGTTAAGGACTAGTTGACTATCCGATAAGCAAATAGGACTAGTCGATTCCCCTCCCCCCGGCTGCCTCTATGAGATAGTGGCAGCAAAGTGGGGGAAGAGGTACTTCAAGTGGCAGCACCACACAGCTGAGCCGCAGCTCAGCTATGCGGCATTGCCCCTTTAAAATGCTGAAAGGGCTGTGGAGTCTGGGGTCAGCTGGGAACTCCCCAGCTAACCCCGGGTTCCGCACAGTATTTCCCCAGAACTCGGGTTCTGGGGAAATGCCACGTGGATCCCGGGAGCCCCCCAGCTGACCCCGGGCTCCATGGCTGCCCCTTTGAAACGCAGAGGTGGTGTTTCTAAGGGGAAGCTACAGCGCAGCCTGGAGCCCAGGGTCAGTGGGGACTCTGAGTCCTCTGCTGACCCTGGGCTCCATGATTTTGAAATGCACAAGAACCCCCATTGTGGACTCTGGTACATTTCAAAGCAGGCACCAGCATGTAGCCCGAAGTCACAGGTACTTTCCATTGGCCCCGGGCTGTATGCGGAGTTCCACATTCCTCCTTTGAAATGTACAAAGCTATGGAGAAATTCCATTGACTACTCAACTAAGCAATTAACCACAATTTAACATCCCTATTCAAGATCTTGTGTAACTCAGCTGCAGCTGCCTTTTCTTGTGGCATTTACCTTCCAGTGTTCCACTATGACAACCTCAGTGCTATTCTTATCTCCTTCTCTAGTTCTGTCTCTGAATTTGTCCGTGCTACCTTTAAGTACAGAATATCTCCCTCATGCTGATCACCATCCTATCACCCTCTCCACTTTCATCTCCCTTTTTGAGATTCACTTTTTCTGTCATGACCACAATAGAATAATTAAACAAACAAACAAACAGCTCTTCTATTATTTCTCTGGGTCCCAAGCATATTCCAGAAACAGCAAGTGGGGGGGAATGAGAACTGGTGCCCCATGGGGAGCCAGCTCCTGTGGAAACACCTGCTCTCCCACTCCTCTGCTTCCCACAGAGGCAGCAGCACGGGAGTGGGAGGCAGGTGGAAGCTGGTGCTTGAGGGGGGCCACCTACTCCCCTTCCCGTGTTGCTGCCTCTGATAGAGAGGCAGCAGTGGGGGGCTCTCTGTGGAGCCACCTGCCCCCCCCATGCTGCTGCTTCTCCCTAATCTGCACTAAAAGCAAATAATTGAATTAATAATGCTTCTTACTGTATCTTAAAAGATGTCTATTATAATTTGGTAACTAGAGTTGTATAACTAATAACTTTAAAGACTTATCTTAAGTTGTAAAATGTCAAGACACACTAATTTTTTTATATCCATCTTTTTCCTTTCAAGCTATAGCCCTGTATCTTGCTGACCAATGGTGGGCCATCAATGATATTGTGAGAACATCTATCCCTTCTAGAGAAGGGCTTCAGCAGGTAAAGCGCTCCAGAATTGTATCTTACCTGTTTTTCTCTTGTAGGGTCAATTTTATATATAATTTTAATAGGGATAGCTCATGATCTGAGATGTGTTGCACATTTTGATTTGATTTGGAAGTGAATCTAATAGTGCAAAGAAATGGGTGGACCATCTCGCATAGCGGGAACATCAGCAGAAATTGAGACGGTTGTGCTCTTTCATGTCTTAGTTTTCTATTTAGCTGAATTCTTCAAAACAGCATTGCTCTTGTGAAACAGTCTCTCGTGAAAGATACTTTACCGTTAATGGTTTAAGGGCTACCTTCTGAGACCCATACTGTCTGAGTGCCTGGCAGTTTGACACATCATGCGAGTTGTGTATGGTACTACTGGAAAAGCTTGCTGGCTGTGCATCTCTCTCTCTCTCTCTCTCTCTCTTGTTTAAGTTCATTGTCAATTGCTAAGAGTATCTTTCTGATGGACAAGGCTGGATATGAGTTCAGAATATTTCAGCAGCCCCCATGTCCAGTAGAATCGATGCAGTGTTTGTTTAATTTGTTTAAATAGATTTTGAGTGCAGCTCCCTGCTTCTGCATTTCTTTCAGTATGAAGTATAATTGCAGTGTGTGTGAAGAAATGAAGAAAACTTGGTTAGAGCACCTCATATTTTTGCTGTTGGGGAGAGGGGATGTGTCTCTTCTTTTGTGGCAGGATGGTGGTTACTAGATTTTCAGTGTAAAGGGGGAGTGGAATTCCTTGTTTCCCAGCACAGAAAATCTTGATAATAACTAGCTGCACCACCTCCCCAAATCTGCCAGTGTTACACTTGCAGACGAGAGACCATTATAAAATTGGAGTTTCATTAAAATTAGTATTACAAACAAAACTGTTTGCATATGCCCCATTTCAGTTCGTTGAGAGCACACACAACTTTTGAAAGCTGTATTCCCATTCCTTGTAAATATAATATTGTCCCAATATTTCTATTAACAAAATTTAAAATACAGTTCATCCACTTGACTTATGATCTTGTGGATGACTTCTAATAATAGTCATTCTCAAGTGATTCTTTGAATCATGCCTTTGTCACCATCAGTTCTGGTACTGATTGTGGAAGCTTCTGGAGCTTTCTTCAGTTGATTTCACATTAAGAATTTTTTTGCAGCAATTTTAGTTTCACTATGCTACAGAATAGTCGGTTCTAAACACGTTAGCACCCCAAAGACACTAGTACCTTATGAAATAATATTTTTTATATGGTCAGTGGTCTAATGATGTAACTCCAAGTTTTTCTTTGAGTGATAGTCTCTGTATGTGTTCCTCATGTTGAATTCGCATGGGTACCATGTGCCTGAGTGTGCAATTTTTTGCAAGCTGTGTCTATTGCTCTTTTTGTGCTCCAAGCCAGGAACATAAAAAGTGTGGTGAGTCAGTGCCTCTTCAGATCCTTTTTACCACCTCATGGCCAGAGTCAGAATCTTCAGTATCCTCTTTCCTGTTGTTGTTGTTTACTGCATCATTGTAGGAAGATATTATATATAGTTATTTTTAGTAGTCTTTATACTCTATTATCTACTGTATATTTGAGTGAGTCTGTCTATTCAAGAACTCCTCTTAAATGGTAAGAGCTAGGACCACCATATCTGGTATGCAGCTTCCTCTTACCATAACTTAAAGCAAGGTCAGGGTTTGGGTGTGCCAGCAAAATAGGACGTGCCTGGAATGGGATTGCTTCTCATAAAATCATGCAGAAGAGACAGAATCACCAGGAAGGTAAAAGGGGCTGGCTAGGGGCGTGCCCCCCTCCCCCAGCCCTGAGCCTCCCATACCCAGCTGTCCTTTTGGGAAGGTGGTCAGAGGCTGAAGCTCCTCTCCTCCACAATTTGTGCAGGGATGCAGCTGGCTGTTCCCCTTTGTCAGGGGGTGAGAGGAAGTGCACAGTTTGCTGCATCTCTCACTCTGTCTGGGGAGTACAGGGGGCAGATGAACTTGGACGTGCCCCAGCCCAGAGACATGCTCCCCTCTGCCAGCTGGAGCTGCAGCAGCCATGGAGAGGCGCTTCTCACCTGGCCCTTAGCTGCTACAGTGAAAGGGGGCTAGGCGAGCCCTCTTTCCCCAGGGCAGCCTTCATACTTAACTTCTTATCTCCAGCCCTACCTCAGAGCAATGATTTAAATCCATGGTGTCCAGCATGCTAGCCACTAGCTACATGTAGCTATTTGGCATGTAGAATGTGGCTAGTTCGCTATAGCACATTTCAGAACTGGTTGGACACTATGGATTTAAATGAAGAAACACAAAAATTAAGTTAAGGATCTGAGCAACACTGGGTAAATCTTCTTGTTGTCTATATAGTATAGCTAGATAGTATTTTTCCCCATTTTCTTCCCAGCCAAGGCCTTTTTCCTCTTGAAAAGTTTGAGATTATGTCCACAGCCTTGAGGTTCAAAAACTTTCTGCCCTCCTTTTTGGTGAGTTATGAACATCTTCACTGCCTCTACAGCCTGGGTGAAACTCATAGTTTTGCCATGTGCGGTGTCTACTGCTCTTTTCCTCCCAGAAGTCATGAGTGTCTAGAACTGAGACTCAAAAAAGACTCATGGAGGAGACCTGGGCCAGAGACCACCCTTTGTTGATCAGTCTCCTCAAGTGGGCATCACCCCTCGGAGCATAAGAATGGCCATACTAGATCACATTAGCCCAAGTTCATCTAGCTCAGTATCCTGTCTTCTGCCAATGCCAGGTGTCCCAGAAAGTACAAACAGAACAGAAAATCATCAAGTGGTCCATCCATTGTCTCCCATTCTCAGCCCCAACAGAATAGGAGCTAGGAATGCCATCGATGGACCTATCCTCCATGAATATATCTAGTTATTTTTTAACCCTATTATAGTCTTGGCCTTCATACCATCCTCTGGTGCAGAATTCCACATGTTTACTGAAGAAATACTTCCTTTTGTTTGTGTTAAACCTGTTGCTTATTAATTTCATTTGTTGACTCCTAGTTTTTGTGGTATGGAAAGGGATAAGTAACTTTTCCCTATTTGCTTTCTCCATGCTATCTAATTATATTATGGTCATTATTGCCAAACAGTCTTGCTATACTCTTGGATCAGATCCTGTGCTCCATTTTAGGACTAAATCATGAATTGCCTCTTTTTTGGGTTCCAGGATCAGCTGCTCCAAGAAGCAGTCATTTAAGGTGTCAAGAAATTTTATCTCTGCAGCCCATCTTGAGGTGATATGTACTTAGTGAACATTGGAGTAATTTTTAAAAAAATTTAATAGCTTCTCTAATCTCCTGGAGCATTTCATATTCACTAGGACTATCCTGGTCAGGTGATCAGTAATGAATCCCTACTGCTATATTCTTATTATTAGAACATGGAATTACTATCCATAGAGATTTTGTGGTACAGTTTAGTTATTTTAATATTTTTGCTAATCTAATTCTAGCATTACATAGTTACTAAAAGACACAACATAGTTTGCAGTGCAGACAAGAGGCATAACTTAATTTGTAATGCTAACAAGAAGCAAGACCTGGCAGCAAACAGTGTTTAACTATGAGAGGCAGGAGAAAATTATATAGGACTTACTTATATTTATACTTGTATTCTTATAGCAACATTAAAATACTACATTTTGGCTAACTTGGACTGGCAGCCCCAGTGTTTTGCTGTAAGTGGTTGCCCCATGAGTTGGGGGTTGGTAGCAGGCAGCCCAGATGTGCCTACTTTTAAGATACAAGTACTGAATTGTGCCTATATTGAGGGTTTTTTTTAATCTCTGCTGCCTGATTGGTTGCTTCCAGTTTCATGTGGTGTAAACTGGTCAGTTCATAACTCTGGTGTTAGTATCTTTTGACGTTTTAAAATAATTATAATAAGTTTTTGGAATTTAAGGGCAACCTCCCAAAGAAGCCTGCTTCTAGGCCTCAGTCGATAAGGGCAGATTGATGGCCAAAACTTCTCACCAAGTCACAGTGGATGTGACAGATACTGCACCTAGATTCTAGAAGGATGCAGAGTGCCTTACAAGATCTGCCCCCTCAGCATTTTCAATCAATTTCTTGAGAAGATGGAAGAATCTCTCCACTCCCTCAAAGACTCCAGGACAAGACTTTGCTTATTAGGCATGTACACCCCTTCCCTAAGAGAAAACACCACAGACAGGGGTATAGGGCAAGAATGCCTCTTGAGCCATTTTACCACGACCATACAGGAAAGACAGGGTTCGTAAACCCAGGCACATAGTTGGGTTAATAGCTTCTCTAATCTCCTGGAGCATTTCATATTCACTAGCACTATCCTGGTCAGGTGGTCCGTAATGATATCCTTGGCATCAATAATTTACTCATTACAGGAGGATTCATGAGTCTTGACATGGAAGATACATCTTTTCACATAGACATTCATGCCATGGGGGGGGGTACATGTTGACCATGATCCTTGATACCATCATCTCTCTCTTTTGACAGTAGTGCCTCCAGTAAGGCTCCTTCATGCTGCCTCTGTCCCCTGCTGCCTCTATCCAAGCATCCCACGGAGCAGCCTCTGTTCGTGGGCAACCTGGATCCCCCATGGACAGGGGCTACTGGCACCCTGTGCTGCTGCCTCTGTATCAGAGGCAGCAGTGTGGGGAGGCAGGAAATCGATTTGCACAGGGAGAAGGTGTTTTAACTGGCTCCCCTCATGGACAAGCTCCTGCCTGATACCTCGTGCTGCTGCCTCTGATACAGAGGCAATAGTGCAGGGTGGCAAGGGGCTCCCTTGGGACTGGGCCTCTGGTGCTATCAAATAGTCATGTAACCAATAATATTTTATGCAGTCTACATGACTATTCGATTGTACAATAGTTAACATCCCTATTTTAAATCCCACGTTTAGTCTGATAAATCAGACTAGTTAGGCTTAACTTGCCCTTTTGGTGAGAGTTTCCATGCTGTCTTGTTTTAAAGTCTTACTTTAAAATTTGGTTTTGTTTTTCTGAGTTGTGGGTGATAGATTTTTTCATAGAGGTTTGGCTTTTAATTTTTCCACACATTTCTGAAACTGTATTTTAACAGCCTTAATTTTTCAGCACTGTTTCTGAGCACTGTCTCCTTCAGTTGTTCCCATTTGCTCCTTTGTTCTAGCAGTAAGATGTAAAAGCTTATCTTTTAATCACAGCACTCTGTACAATCCTTGAGTTGATCTTTCAAGTATCTTCTTATCTATTTGATTAAAACAAAATTAGGCTGACCATATTTCCCAAGTGAAAACAGGACATGCTATGTGGGGCTAGCCTGAGCCTTTCCCTCTCCATGCACAGGGTTGGTCCAAATCACTCACAGGAGCCCCCTCCCAATGTGGGGCTGGCATTGTCGCTGCCCCGAGCCCTATCTGCTCCACGTAAGATTGGGGCTGATATCTCTGCTTGCCTGAGCCCTGCCTCCTTCCCTCCCTCCCCCCTTGCTTAGGGCAAGTATTGTTGCTTGCTCTTTTGTATGTTCCTCTGCACCTCAATTTTCTGACAAAACTGGGCATTTTTCCCATTTGCTCTCACGAACTGATCGAGTTAGTAACAACAAGTGGGGACAAATTCCTGCTTTTGCCAAAAGTCAGGACAGGGCTTTAAAAATGGACTGTCCCAGCCAGAATGGGATGTATGGTTGTCCTAAGCAAAATGTGTTTGTGTTTTTGTTTTGTTTTTTTGCTGAATTTTCACAACAGCTTGTCTCAGATTCTCATCCTTTAGCTGATAGAAAGTGTGCCAACCTCCTCACAACAAGTGGGGACAAATTCCTGCTTTTGCCAAAAGTCAGGACAGGGCTTTAAAAATGGACTGTCCCAGCCAGAATGGGATGTATGGTTGTCCTAAGCAAAATGTGTTTGTGTTTTTGTTTTGTTTTTTTGCTGAATTTTCACAACAGCTTGTCTCAGATTCTCATCCTTTAGCTGATAGAAAGTGTGCCAACCTCCTCG